CCTACGGTTTACCGGGCAGTTCTGTTTGTGACGATATATATATATATATCGTCACAAACAGAACTGCCCGGTAAACCGTAGGCAGAGAGAGAGAAATATATATATATATATGACGATATATATATATATATATGCCTACGGTTTACCGGGCAGTTCTGTTTGTGACGATATATTATATATATATTTAAATAATATTTTTTATTTTTTTATTTTTTTTTAATTCTAAATTTGGTGAAGAATTTCTTTTTTTTTTTATACAAAACAAACATTATTATATGCTCGGAACCGGACCCAGCATCCCTCACAAAGGTGCCGCAGTTCTCAAGCTGAGCAAGGCATTTCGGCCAAGCAGAGCCCGGGCCAAGGTATGCTTTCACCTGAACTTCGCTTCTTTTCAATATTGACGGTGTAACTTCTGTCGCTGTTGTTGTTGCTGTTACAAGCACAGGGCATAAATGAAGTTGGTCCGTCGACATCTGCCGCGGCCCAGTTGTGGCAAGAGGGGATTGCTGCTGGCCATTGTCAGCAAATCGAACATCCAACGGACGATGAGACCGGAGATGTGCAGGCAATGGCACAAGCAAGCCTGCGTATTGACAACAGAGGGGAGGAAGGGAACTCTGAAATTGAGACGGAAGTTTATTCAACAGACTTGGAGGAAAGCTTGGCAGAGGAAATAGCTGAGCACAGCGGCTCCGAGACTGCTTCGTCCTTGACGCGATGGCTAACGCAGCCGAGAGCACATCAGCAGAAGGATCTGGATGGTCCTTCCAACAGGAGTGCTTCAACTGGGGTGTTGATGCCTCGTAGCACCTTAGGAATGCAGGGAGAAGGGATGTTGCTCAACATCAGACAACTTGATCTGCAATCGGAACGGAAATCGTCGTTACAGTTACGACAGCGGGACATGAAGCCGTCGAAAACCATACAACAGCATTCCACAGTGCAGCAGTTCTACTCAGAAAACATGAAGCAGTTTGCACCTAAGCCATCCGGATCATCATCTCGGGTTTATCCTGATGATACCATTCGGGAGAGGCAGAAGAGTGAAGGGCCCGTCGTCAACTTTTTGACAACGGTCGGCGCACAGGGGAGCATTCATATTCATTCAAGAAAGGACAAACGCCGTTGGATTCCACAAAATGCACCTACTGCATTGAACAGATCTTCCCAAAAGGGTTCGTCCTCTCTCTCTCTCTCTCTCTCTCTCTCTCTCTCTCTCTCTCTCTCTCTCTCTCTCTCTCTCTCTCTCTCTCTCTCTCTCT